CTTGTCCAAATGGTCACATTCCTTTGTTATTTAAGGTAATCAGACCTTGTCCTCATATAGCCCTTTAACCTCTTGCCGTCCGCCTGCTGTTGATAAACGGCAGGGCGGTGGCACTCCACGGGCGGGTTGCCGTTCATAAACGGAACCCGTCATTTCTAGCTGAGCGCGCAGCACCGCGATCCGGTGCCCGCTGTGTCCTCACACAGTGAAACACCAATCGTCGGACGGGACCTCTGTACGAGGTCCCGATCATGTGATCACTGATTGGCCAATCAGTGATCACATGCAAAGTAGTAAGCAAGTCACTTGTGACATCATTGCTTACTACGTGTGAAATCTGTGAATGATCACAGAGGTCACATGATACAAGGCTATTCACAACAGCCTTGTACCATGTGACAAGCTGTGACCAATCACAGATCACTCAGTATTTCTCAATGACTGCAAGAATGCAGACAGAGAGAAAGAGAAATGATTGCTTTTACATCCTATATGGGTGTAAAAAGCAATCGTAAAAAAAAAAAAAAAAAAAACTTCATCACCCCCCACAAGTAGTACAGTGTCACCATGGTGACACTGTACTGCTAGGGTGACAGTATGTAAAAAAAAAATTTATATAAAAATGTAAAAAAAAATTTATAATTTTTGGTTATAAACTAATTCTGATTTTTTTTTTTTTAAAAAAAATAAATTTTGGCCAAGATTTATGATGAAATATTATTTATTTGCAAAATTTTATTAAAAAAAACACTTTTTTTTTTCAAAATTTTTGGACATTTTCATTTACATAGTAAAAAAAATAAAAATCCCAGCGGTGAATAAATACCACCAAAATAAAGCTTTATCTGTCTCAAAAAAATTCATATGGGTACAGTATTGCATGACCGTGCAATTGTCATTCAAAGTGTGATAGCGCTGAAAGCTGAAAATTGCCCTGGACAGGAAGGGGGTAAAAGTGTCCGGACAGGAAGTGGTTAACCAAGCTTGGAGGCATTCTTAAACATTTGTGAGACCAACGTTAATAAGGAAATTTGTAATATGCAATTTCCCTATCAGTGTGTTGCTGTCCACGAAGCATGCTGATAGGAGGACAGTACAGAGAGTTGAGCTCAACGGTTTGCAACTTCAACTCCACCCTGTGACTGGACAGTCAAAAGGGAAGAAGAGATATCAGGTCCTTTCTTTTGCTTGACAGGTCTGTTCTGCATGGCAGAGCTATATACAGGAATGTATGGATGGAAATACAAATCCTTGGACAGGTAAACTGCTCTCTACATCTATTTCATCGATGTATTTAGTAGGGATGCACTGACATTTCGGTGGCTAAAATGTTTCTGTCAAAACCACCCCTTACGGCCGAAATGTAAAAAAAAGCACCGATACAGGTGCTGAAAAAACCCCGCCCCTCGTCGCCGCCGCTTAGTAGTTCTCAGCCTTACCTGAGAAACCATCGAACGATCCTAGCACTAGGCATAGAGATGAGTGAAGGAAAGATGACCTCCACTCATATCTATGCCCTTGGAGGACTGGAGCGATGTCGCTTCCGGTTCCAGACATTTTTTTTTTTTTTTTTTTAAAGCACTAGATCAATGCTTTTTTTTTTTTTTTTTTGATCCAATGCTTTACATTGCAGAGAAGAGATGTGGGGTCTTATTGACCCCATATCTCTCCATAAAGAGGACCTGTCACAAATTATTTCTATCACAAGGGATGTATGCATTTCTTGTGATAAGAATAAAAGTGATTAAATTTTTTTTTTAAAGGGACAGTGAAAAAAAAAGTAATAAAAAAGTTTAAAACGCCCCCGTCCCCCCATGCTCACACGTAGCGGTGAACGTATACGTAGGCCATGCCCACATATGTAAATGGTGTTCAAACCACACATGTGAAGTATCGTCACGAATGTCAGAGCAAGAGCAATAATTCTCGCACTAGACCTCCTCTGTAACTCTATACTGCTAACCTGTAGAATTTTTTAAAGCATCACCCATGGAGATTTTTAAGTACTGAAGTTTTACGCCATTCCACGAGCATGCACAATTTTAAAGCATGACATGTTGGGTATCTATTTACTCGCCGTAAAGTTTCGGTTTCGACACCAGAATTTTCATTTCGGTGCACCACTAGTATTTAGATACTTGCCTGGAGTTTACTGTCAAGTTGCACATCTTCTGATAGCAGCTGGTGGACTTTCTGCCTAGCAGTTTATTCCCACCAAATATCTACATGTATCCTACTTAGAACTATCCCTAGCAGATGTCAGCAATATTTGTATAGATATTATTGAGCATTGATGGAATCCTGTACCACAGGGATACCTTTTCATATTGTTCATCTTGGATCTCGCTGACAATAGAAAAATCTGTGAAAATAAAGATGCTTACCCATTCTTTATTTGAAAATGGTCTTTTTAAAGTCCACTTCCATTCCTCCATGGAAAAGAGGCTGCTATCTAGTCCTTTAGTTACCTAGACTCTTCTGATTAATATTTAAGTGGTAATTAAAGTTTGATGGCAAAAAGTTCATTATGATTATTGGCCATAGTGGCTGTATTGCTAAAAATAATTTACTAAAAAGTAATCTGGCTGCGTCTTTCTTAGAGATCTGCTTACACCAACAAGATCATCTTTGATTTTCTTTAATGGTTTGGACATTGGACCACATAGGGTAGAATATGTTTCTCTAAGAGGGAAAAGAGCCTAATCTGTATTTGCTGAAATAACACAGTTTTGATGATTCTATGACTACCAGAATGTGAGACTTTTAAAGGATTCCAAGCTTGTTAAAGAAGAATCCCAGGTATGGATATTTGATACATTTACATTGATCCAGCTTGGACCAAATAACTATGCATATACCATACCTGACTGATGCCCCTGGAAGCTGGAAATCACTGAAGTAGACCTCGCTAGTCCACTTACTTCTGGGTATTCTGAACACAGGAGGTTGGCTGCTCGGCACAGGCACTATTCTGAGAATGCTTTGCTTTTTATGGATGCATGGAAAGTGTTCATTGGACAAGGTGGAGAGGCAGGGCGGTGACATCACACTCTGCACCTCGTCAAATCAGAGAACGTTTTGAATTAATTCATAAGATGCAAAGCATTCTCCTAATGGTGTCTGCACTAACAGCCAACCTCCTGTGTTTACAATGAGGGCTGGTTCACACTATAGAAACGCAGTTCAGGTGCGTTTTTTTTTTGCATTCACATTTTTGGTGCATTTTTGATACATTTTTGACATGTTCCCGAGCATTTTTTATACATTACTGTTAATTTTTTCCTCCTTGCTTCTTCAATTTAAATAGGAACATGTGCTTTCCAGTGCATTTTTGATGTGTTTTACTGTGTTCCAGTACATTTCTGTGCAGAAAAAATGCACCGTGTTCTACTTTTTTTTTTTTTCTGCAACTAGAACACTTTGGAACTGCAAGCACTGATGTGAACTTTGACATTGACAACCATATAACCTACTTTCTGTGCATTTTGGATGCAGAAAAAAAGCAACTGAAACGCATGTAGTGTGAACTGGCCCTAAAGCAGGGCAGCTGCTCGATGTGGGACCCGGAAGCAAGTGCAGATTACTAGACTAGCCGTGTCTACTCCAATGATTTCCAGCTTCCAGGGGCATCAGCCAGGTATGGTATATACACAGTAACGTTAGTCCAAGCGGGATCAATGTAACGATGTATAAAATATCCATTCCTGGATTTCTTTACTTTAACAATGTCACTTTGTCTATACATGGACAGACAACTCCCAAGATTCATAGGTGGGAAATGCAATGTCTACTGGTCTTCACATGATCCCAAGGCATGGGGGGCCCGCAGCAACCCTTGACCCATGGTGGCATTAGCACAGGTGCTGTTTGAACACTCTTCTCCTCCATATGGCTGAGACTGTACAAGGCCTTCCAGCTATGAGGCACTTGTTTTGCTTTTCTTCTCTGCCCTCCTCCTAATGGTATGATGTCAGTTCCAGCACAGCGAGGCTACTTTTAGAACAGATGTTAATATACTCACCACAAATGTAACAAAGCTACTGTGTAACTCTTAGGAGCCGGAGGAAGTTCTATTAATGTTTTTTTAATAATTAATGGACTGTGCTCATTTGCTGTTAACCAGATTGCTCTAGTGGAAATGGCTTTAGAATGTGATCTGTCCATTCAGATTGTTTAATCGTAAAGTGATTACAGTACAGTTCAGGGGACATTAAATGATCATATTCTTCAAAAATAATCCATACACATCCACTGCCTAATGGCCCTATTTATGGAATTGTGCTGTGTTTTTATGGCTCCTTGTAATGTCCCCAGTGAACCTCTCCTTTTCCCCCTCACTTCCGTTTGGAACAAGCAGTGCACATTAGTTGCGTTTATGTACTGATCTATTGCTCTCTGCACACAGCCACCCTTCTCTTACTCGCTCCTCGGGTGGATTATGGGATTTGCAATGTTCCTATATACAGTAGAACCATGTAGAACAGTGGTCTAAAAACTGTAGCCCTTTGCTTGCCTTTAACCAGCCCTTGGGCACTATTCCTCCACAGCCCATGTTTTAGAATGAAGGTGGGTTGTGCCACCTACCATATTTTTCGCTCCATAAGACGCACCTAGGTTTTAGAGGAGGAAAACAATAAAAAAAATATTCTGAACCAATGGACTGCAGACATAGTACAGGAGATGACCAGAGACTGCATACATAGTACAGGAGATGACCAGAGACTGCATACACAGTACAGGAGATGGCCAGAGACTGCATACACAGTACAGGAGATGACCAGAGACTGCATACATAGTACAGGAGATGACCAGAGACTGCATACATAGTACAGGAGATGACCAGAGACTGCGGACACAGTACAGGGGATGACAGGAGATGACAGAGACTGCACACAGTACAGGGGATGACACAGAGACTGCGGACATAGTACAGGATGACCAGAGACTGCGGACACAGTACAGGAGATGACCAGAGACTGACCAGAGACTGCGTGACATAGTACAGGGGATGACCAGACATAGTACAGGGGATGACCAGAGACTGCATACAGTACAGTACAGATGACCAGAGACTGCGGACATACTACAGGAGATGACCATAGACTGCGGACAGTACAGGAGATGACCAGAGACTGCGGACACAGTACAGGAGATGACCAGAGACTGCGGACACAGTACAGGAGATGGCCAGAGACTGCATACGTAGTATAGGAGATGGCCAGAGACTGCGGACGTAGTACAGGGGATGACCAGAGACTGCGGACGTAGTACAGGGGATGGCCAGAGACTGTGGACGTAGTACAGGAGATGGCCAGAGACTGCGGACGTAGCACAGGAGATGGCCAGAGACTGCGGACGTAGCACAGGACGTAGCACAGGAGATGGCCAGAGACTGCGGACGTAGCACAGGAGATGGCCAGAGACTGCGGACGTAGCACAGGAGATGGCCAGAGACTGCGGGCGTAGCAGCACAGGAGATGGCCAGAGACTGCAGACCTTTGGGGAGTGGAAGAGGAGGGAGCGGGTACCTGAATTTGACAGGTACCTGCTCTCACTTCCTTGGAGTTGTCCTTCCTCCCACTCTTCTGGGACACGTGACAGGTCCCAGAAGACTGCTGGACCATTAACAAAGCGCAGCGCTTCTCGTGCATGTGCAGTGGGCATCTTGCTGTGAAGCCGCAAGCTGTCACAGCCAGGCGCCCACACTAAAGATGCTGGTGCCAGAGTGAGAAGACGGTGAGGACACCGCTGGACTGAGGAACAGGTAGGACCGAGGAGCAGGTTCTTCTGCACAGAAGAGCCGGCCGGCCGCTCCATATTCACTCCATAAGACGCACAGACAATTTTCCCCATTTGTTGGGAGGAAAAAAAGTGTCTTGTGGAGCGAAAAATACGGTAAATCTCAGCTCTAACCTGCCTGTGCAGACCAACTCACTTGGCCAAAAAGTCTGGTATGATAATCACTGTTGCAGGCAAGGCCCAGCTGCTGCCTATGCAGACCATGGCCTCGGGTGACAAAGATTTCAGGTCTAGTTCAAAGCTTCCCACAAATGATGTTGCTGACTGACTGTAACACTTTCCCATATGTAATGAAAGGTTTCCAACAGCAGTACTGCCTGTCAGTGCTAACCATCTTAGTCCTTGTTGCCTGTGCATTTTGTACTATGTACTTGTGGTTCCCCTGTGATAGATCTACTGTATATACCTAAAACCAAACAACTAGCGGACTAGGGCAACTGTCTTACTCTTCTAGTTTTCAGTTGTAGATGTACTAACACACAGCAGGCAAACTGTCTTTCAGCATCTCTGACCCTAGCTTTGAATAGCCTTGTGTGGCTGTGATGTTTTAAGCAAACTAGATGACCACAGTTTGATGGCCACCGTCGGTCAACCCATCTTCTCGGAGCCCAGGCTGTCATGGACCTTCCCCAGTTTGTGACTGGACAGTGAAAGGAGAAGCAGTACGGTGATTACCTCACACCTCTGTCAATCTGCTTTCTCCTACAAGCATGTTTCGTGCGGTGCTTAAACTAATGGCTCCTTGTGATGCTTCTTCCTTTCACAATGTAGCCCTGCTGTATAGGGACTACAAGAGTGTGCTACTTACATTCAGCTACTTGCATTAAAAAAAAACCTTTAAATTGTGTAATGATTACAGAGCCGCCTTTATGTGTGTCTTTTAAACATGCCTAGAGTTCAGCTCTAAAGTAGCCAATTGCAGCAGCATGGGTGTGACACCATTATAATTACCTTGGCGAGTAATGCAGTAAGGAACCAGAAAGGGTCATGTCTGAGAGCAAGATACAAGATGTCAGCAGGTCACATTCTGTTCTTGTTAAGCATTGTGTGAATTTTGTGTAATGTATGTGAATGTGTTTGAGTGATTAATTTTGATCCAGTGGCATCCATTTTAGGCGTTGAAAATCCCCTGACATCTCAGCCTGTCCATGTGCCACAATTCGCTTAAATCACACGAAGATCCATGTGGGTCATGTTACATAGTTAGTCTGGCTGAAAAAAGACAAAAGTCCATCCAGTTCAACCATTAAAGAAAAAAAAAAAGGTTATAATCCTATACCCACAGTTGATCCAGATGAATGCAAAAAAAAAAAAAACTCAGGAAAGCATCACCCAATTTGCTCCTGCTGGGAAAAAATTCCTTCCTGATCCCCCGAGAGGCAATCAGATATTCCCTGGATCAACTTTACCTATAAATGTTAGTATCCAGTTATATTCTGTGTATCCAAGAAACAATCCAGGGCTTTTTTTTTAAAGAAATCCACTGAACTGGCTAGAACCAACTCTTGAGGGAGTCTTTCACATTTTTACAGCTCTTACTGGGAAGAAACCTTTCCGTGTTTGGAGATTACATATCTTTTCCTCCAGATGTAAAGAGTGCCCCCTTGTCCTCTGTGATGACCTCAGGGTGAATAACTCTACACTGAGTTCACTATATGAACCACTGATGTATTTATACATGGAGATCATATCCCCCCTTAATCTCCTCTTCTCAAGAGAGAATATATTATTAAATCAATCCTTGATCGGCCCCTTATGTATTAGGTGATCACTACATTGCTATACATGGCATGCATGGCGAGGGGAAAATTTTCATTGATTAACAAAACAGAAACTTCAGAGAATGAGTGACCTACCTAAGGATTTGAACCCATTTTGTTTTTCTTTTTGTAGCTAAGGGGATCTTTCAAGGGCATATGAAGTACTGCTGGTAACACAATAAATACATGTAATAAAATGTCATTTTATTGTACAAAGGCTAAAAACACATGTCGCACCACATCCACGTACTTTTTTTTATTATACAGGATTTTTATATAGCGCCAACAGTTTGCTCAGCGCTTATACAATATGCTTCAGCAGAAAGTTTTACATTTGTTCTCACATGAATCGGTAACAAAGAAAACATTCCCCATGCATGTTGAACTCATTTCGAACAATCGTTATGTTCAGGAGCACATGTGAATGATATCCCCCCTTATTCTATTATAATGGAGGCCTTTATCCCCAATTAATATGTAAATCAGGGGTAGGCAACCTTTAACCACTTGCCTTCCTCAAGATTTATCCCCCCCCCTGTATATATACCAGGCCATGTTTTGCTGTTTGGCACTGGGGTCATGTCCCAAAACTGGAATCATATGTTCTTTTTTTCACACAAATAGTTTTTCTTTAGTGGTATTTGATAAGCACTCAGTTTTTTATGTATTATATATATATATATATATATATATATATATATATATATATATATATCCTTATATATATTATACATAAACGAAAAAATCCCCCCTTTTGTAAAAAAAAAAAAAATCATATTTCCCCTTATGTATATAAAAAAAAAAATATCAGCAAAGTTAGTCAGAAATGGTGATGTATCCCCCCTTATGTATTATACATGGAGAAATATCCCCCCCTTATGTATTTCTACTTGTGGTAGAAAAAAAAAATCCCAATATGTGTATATGTAATTTTTGTACATGTGAAATTTTTTTTTTTTTTTTTTTTTTTTTTTTTTTACATGGTTGTCATATTGTCCCTTATGTATTGATATATTGCTCATATCCCCCCATGGTATATACATGGTGAATCACACCCAAAACACATTCTGCTACTGATATATGGGGATACTACATCTGAGAGACTTTTTTTGGCAGCCTAGCTACATATGTCATTATGTGAGAAAGGTATGTCCCTTCTCGCTGCCTGTAAATGGGGGGGGCCCTTAGTATTATACATAGTTGCTTAGGATTGTTCTCAAGAGAGAATAAAAATAAATCAACTCGCCAGGCCTCAATAAAACTACATTGCTGGCATGATGGCGAGGGGAAAATTTTCATTGATTAACCTGGTAGAAACTTCAGAGAATGAGTGACCTACCTAAGGATTTGAACCCATTTTGTTTTTCTTTTTGTAGCTAAGGACTTTCAAGGGCATATGAAGTACTGCTGGTAACACAATAAATACATGTAGTAAAATGTCATATTTATAACAAAGCTAAAAACATGGGCATGTGCACCACATCCACGTACTTTTTTTTATTATACAGGATTTATATAGCGCCAACAGTTTGCTCAGCGCATTTACAATATGTTAGGCCCAAAACATTTGTTTCACATGAATCGGAAACAAAGAAAACATTCCACATGCATGTTGAACTGGCATTTTGAACAATTTGGTTCAGGAGCAGCATGTGAATGCGATTCATGTGCTTTTGAATAATCAATTGAAAAAACAAAACACTATGTGACAGCAAACAGGGCACTTGCCTTCCTCAAGATTTACCCCCCCCCCCCCTAATGACCAGGCCATGTATTGCTGTTTGGCACTGGGGTCATGTACCAAAACTAAATTTATGTTCTTTTTTTCACACATAGTTTTCTTTTAGTGGTATTTGATAAGCACTCAGTTTTATTTATTTATTTATATATATATATATATATATATATATATATATAATATATATATATATATACATACATACAAAAAAGACCGAAAATTGTAAAAAAAAAAAAATCTAGTTCAACCGGTTATAAAAAAAAAAAAACAGCAAAGTTAGTCAGAAATACCCAAACTGTATTCTGCTACTTGTCTTTGGTAAAAAAAAAAAAAAAAACCCAACATGTGTATACCCAATTTTTCCTGTGTGAAAAAATTCCTTTTTTTTTTTTTTTTTTTTTTACACAAAGTTGTCACTTTATTGAGATATTGCTCATGCGCGCCATGGGTACCTATGTGGAAAACACCCAAAACCATTCTGCTACTGAATATGGGGCCTACTACATCTGAGAGACTTTTTGGCAGCCTAGGTACAATGTCATATGTTGAGGGAAGGTATGTCCCTTTTCTCTCTGCTGTGTAAAGGGGGGGCCGCAGTGTAACTAGTTGCTAGGATTGTTCTCACATAAAAAGCGCACCGCCAGCTGAACAAAATACCAGGATGATGTCTGTAGCTGCAGGCACATCGATGGTATAACCACTCACAAAGAATGTCCTGTGAACATGCAGTACACCTTGTTGCCCTCAATATGGACAGCAGAGAACATCCAAATATATGAATCAGGTCTGGGGCCAAGAACCGCAATTCATTATTTTTTTCTAATACCCTAGTGCAGTTACCCAAAAAATGTTTAAATTCTGAAACAGTGATAGGTTTACTCATGCGAACGGCACAGAGCTAAGTTTCAAGGGCAGCATCATAAAAGAACAGTGCGATCAAACACAGCTTTGGTCACAATCAATTGAGGCAAAAGGGAGTGCTACAGCAAACAGGGCTGATCTTGCTAATACTATGAATTGGGAACACTATACAAAAAGAGGCACTAGTACAGGCCTGTTCATGATCAATATATTGATCCATACAAAATAAACTATACTAGTAATGGTGGTGATACACACAAAGTTACATAGTAGTTTGGCTGAAAAAAGACAAAAGTCCATCTAGTTCAACCATTAAAAAAAAAAATCAACATCCGCTGATACCCACAGTCCGATCCAGAGGAGTTTAGACATCCAAAAGGCTGACGCGTTTCGAGGACTTGCCTCTTCCTCAATTTGCTCCTGCTGGGAAAAAAGTTCCTCGAATCCCCCGAGAGGCAATGGATATTCCCTGTCACCATTACCTATAAATGTTACTCAGCGCTGTGTTATATTCTGCTGTATCTTTTATGATCCAGGCCTTCTTTGAAGCAATCCACTGAGTACAAACCAACTCTTTTCTATTCCACATTTTTTACAGGTAATGCACTAGAAGCCTGTTTGGAGATTACATTTCTTTTCCTCTTTTTGTAAAGAGTGCCCCCTTGTCCTCTGGGATGACCTCAGGGGAATAGCTCTACACCGAGTTCACTATATGAACCACTGATGTATTTAAAATACATGGAGATCATATCCCCCCTTATATTATACATGGAGATCATATCCCCACCTATGTATTATACATATATATCCCCCCAGCGCTGATATTATTTATATACATGGAGATCATATCCCCCCGTTTAATCATGTTTTGATCATATCTCAAGAGAGAATACATTCAGTTCCTCTGATCTTTCTTCATAGCTGATCTCCTCCATGCCTCGTATCAGTTTGGTTGCCGTTCTCTGTATTTTTCTTCAGTTCCCCAATGTTCTTTTTGTGAATTGGTGCTCAAAACTGGACTGCATATTCCGATGAGGTCTTACTAATGATTTGTACCGGGGTAATATGATATCTCTCTCTCTGGAGTCTATACCTCTTAATACAAGAGAGGATTTTGCTCACTTTAGAAGCCTCAGCTTGGCATTACATGCCATTATTAAGCTTGTGATCTACCAGAACCCCCAGATCCTTCTCCACCGTTGATTCCCCCAGTTGTACCCCCCCCCCAGTATGCATGATGCATGCACATTCTTAACCCCCAAGTGCATAACCTTACATTTATCAACATTAAATCTCATTTGCCACATAGTTGCCCAATTAAACAGTGCATTGAGGTCGGCTTGTAAGTTGAAGACATCCTGTAAGGACGTTATTCCACTGCACAGCTTGGTGTCATCTGCAAAGACTGAAATGGGATTTGTAATCCCAGACCCCATATTGTTTATAAATATATTAAAAAGTAAGGGTCCCAACACTGAACCCTGGGGTATACCACTGATGACCCTAGACCATTCAGAGTATGAATCATTAAGCACTAGTCTTTGGATATGAACTTTTAGCCAGTTTTCTAACCTTTTACATATGGATTTTTCCAAGCCCGTAGACTTTACATTATACATTAGTCGAGTGTGGGGAACTGTGTCAAACGCTTTTGCAAAATCCAAGTATACCACGTCCACCGCCACCCCTCTGTCCAGGGTTTCGCTCACCTCCCCATAAAAAGAAATTAGATTTGTTTGACAACTTCTGTCTTTGATGAATCCATGCTGTCTGTTGCTTAAAATATATATTTTTTTCCAGCAAGAACTCATCTATGTGGCTTTTATTAAACTCTCCAGTATCTTCCCAACTATAGAAGTTAAACGAACAGGTCTATAATTACTTGGTAAAGATTTTGATCCCTTTTTAAATATTGGCACCACATTGGCCTTACGCCAATCCAGTGGTACTATGCCAGTCATTAAAGAGTCCCTAAAAATTAGAAACAATGGCTTTGAATTGGCAGAGCTCAATTCTTTAAGGACCCGTGGGTGTATGCCATCCGGTCCAGGTGCTTTATTCACCTTTATTCTGTGTAAATATTTTTGGATCATATCAGTTGTGAGCCAATGTGGATCATCTGGAACTGTGTCAATACCATGCCCATTATGGACAAGAGCTCCCCCTTGCTTTACACAGAGCTGAAGAAGGTATTTAATAGAGTTTTATAGATCAGCGACCTATAGCGTGAGTGCGATAGTGCGCTGGCAATTTAATGCTAGCTGATCCTGGCTGGAAGAAAAGCGGGGCAAGCGGCCAGCAAGTAGTTTAAAAAAAATGTAAACATTGAGAGAAATTTTTAATTTTTTTTTCTTAAATACTTTCATCAAAATGGTACTATGTTACCTTAGTAACATTAAAAATCATTGCTCCTGCAGTGCAATGTCATGAATGTGTTAAGTTCATGACAGTTCAAAATACAGTGATCACCAGGTCCCAATTACCTGTGAGGGTTGTGCGCATGCTCAGGCCCTGTGTATATCCATAGACATTGGCCAATTGAAGAACAAAAGTAGACCAGCAAATCTCCTTGGTTCACATGCAAGAAGTTTAGGCCCCAGGGTGTAATCAATCAGAAATTCTGCATTCTTGTTCTGTATGTTGTTGATTCCTTTCTGATGTCTTTTTTTACCCATAGATCGAAAACTTGCCCCCTGAGCTGTTCCAGTGCAAGAAGCTACGCACCCTTAACCTCGGGAACAATACCCTGCAATCTCTGCCTTCTAGAGTGGGTGAGCTCACCAACCTGGCCCAGATGGAGCTGCGTGGCAACAGACTGGAGTGTCTACCCGTTGAGTTAGGAGAGTGCCACCTTCTGAAACGCAGTGGACTTGTAGTGGAAGAGGACATATTTAATACTCTGCCATCAGAAGTTAAGGAGAAATTAACAAGAGCAGACAAGGAACAAGTCTGAGGGAGACTGGAGATACTACAAGGAAGTCCAGAAAGGTCCCATTTCATTGCCAGTCGCTGGCCTAACAATAACATGAGCAGAAACTACACAGCCTCTCAAAAGGGCTCCAACTTTAGCTCCTTCTCAGATGTATACGCCAAGATGTTTATTATGACAGGTCGCAGCGAGCACCGAGCAAAACAATCTGAATAATGTTACCTTTAGTCCTGCCTGTATTTAATATCTTTGCATAGAGCCTGTGATCCTGGATATACTAGAGGCAGAGGAAGCCCCTTCCTTTCCTGTTTGTGTACAGACTTCCATTGCTGGGCAAAAGTCATCAATCTCACCCTAAGGCATGCATGTAATTAGCCAGCAAATGCTGTGAAGGAAGGGGGTAGGGGAGTGTGGTTGATTTTCAGCTGATATTTTTGGAAGTGTCTCATTTCAGGCTTGCTCCGGTCCTATGCTCCTCTGAGCAATTTTCCAGTTATTATTTACAGTCTTACAACATCACTGTGAGACCGATCTTTTCCACAACCTAACACAGCTGTCACATGCAAAATAAATGTGGCTTAGCTGGTAGAAGTGGGTAAGGCTGAGTACAGGAGACAGATCTTAAAAGGGAGCTCCAGCCAACATGGTTTTAGGTTTGAAACAAGCAAGTTAAAACTCAAATGGCCTGACTGAGTACAGTATATCTTTTAGGGGCCACCTTATGTCTACTGAGAGGCACACAGCTTAAAACCCAATCCCAGGATGGAAAAAAAAAACCATATTAAATACTAAAAGCCAATAGCTTGTTTTCTCCAGGGGATAGGAGAAACAGTTTTACTCCCCTGATCCTCTGCTTCCCTGGCAGATGGCTCTTATCTTCAATCCAGCGGTGGACTGTCGCTCAGCGTCCTATCGTCCAGAGCAGGCCTGTGGACCCTGGTCTGGATGACATAAGGACCACAAACTGCTAGAGCATGGTGGTGCAGAAGCTGCGGGTCTAGTTGAGGGCAGGAACAGAGGATCGAGTAACTATATTTGATTTTATAGTAAGGAGTAATAGTGCTTTGTGTGCTGCTATAGTCCCACCCAATTCCTCAATTTGAAATATAGGAAATATCAAAAATCAAAATATATGAATATCAAAAAAAGACTGAAAGAAAAGGAGTGCTGTTGTGCTTAGGAAAAAATTCAATATATAAAAATCATACTATATATATGATACCTATATAGCAGCAGTCCTAATTGTGAATTTCTATACACAAAATCTTAACTATTTCAAAACCTCAGCGTCGTTCATTTTGAAATATCAATAAAGGATTGCTGCAACTACTAATATTGTGCACTCTTAACACCCCTAACATGAGTAAATTCCTACCCATGTGGTGCGCTATCCCTTTAAATCTCTTAAAATACAAAATAGGCAAAAATAAACCTTAAGTGATTGATATGGCTATCTGTAGATACTATACAAGTCCATTATAGTGTGTATAGTCCACTTTCACATATTCGGTGCTGTGCAAACAAAATACAATGTGCTATCCCTCCTTTGAGTGAAAAACTTGCTTTAAGAGATTGAAAGGGATAGCGCACCACATGGTTGGAATTTACTTATATTTCATTTTATAATTCCCCAAGACATAAACAAGCAGTTACCGTTTGCAGTTCCGCACAGCCCCAAGGGATACTTTATTTGCGCAGAGTGTTGCTTGCAAATCAGAAAAAACACTTTGGTAATTAGCACTGATAATACCATAGAGAGGGACCATTAATCATTTTCTGAGCCTTAATGCACTGGAGAACAGATGACTCCTCTAACCATTTGAAATGCCTGGCTTAGAACCTCAGTCAGATGCATGTTGTTGTCTATGTCCCCTTGTTTTTGTCCTGGTGACCCCTCTGAATGTTACAGTACGTGAATGGATGTCACTTCATAGGTTACACAAGCAGCAGTACATACCTGGCAGAGGCCCCATCGCTTCACCACTCTTACCAGCAATAAGGTATTTCATCGTGTCCCTGCTAAGGACATTTTTTGACTTTCCTGTGGCAAGATGCTGAGATAGGAAATAAAGGGATGATTTAGGGAATGGGGGTACAGGCAGTAGTGTGCCTCACAGACGTTCTTGCTCTTCTGACTATCCAAAAATGTAAACTTTGTGAAAAAGTGCATTTCCCTACCTGCCTTCTTTACAGCATATTCCCTAGTGCTAGAGGTGGACTCTAAGCCTCCTCTTTAAATGGTCATGGTGCTTTTTTGATCTATTTATTTACTCGATTGACACTACTTAACTTATTTTTTTTTTTTTTTTTTTAATTTTGCGTTGCATTCTGAGTAACCAGACACAGAGCTTTATAGCTTTACATATGCTTGCATCTTCTGTTCAGTAATTTCACAGGCGAAGTGAACCACTGTGCCAAATTGTGGGACAGAATGAACCAGGTGTACGCAGGTGTGTTACCTTTGACATGGTAACCTTGGTGAGGTTCAGTCGCATCGGAGTTGCCTTTTCCATTATAAAAATCAATGTAAAATCCTAATGGCAATTGGATGAGTAAATGGCTTATGTATTTTCTTGTAGCATGAAATAGCAAAACTCTTTTCATTGGTAGGGGCAAGTTGTTGACAACCTCGCTTGTGAAATGAACGTACAGGACTTGGACTATAATGTGTCTGGAGCCGCAGCCTCCTGCGTTGCGACTCAGGACTTGGTCTCTGCACATAGTTTGTTCTTCTAAACCGCACTCTTCCTTCGGGAGTGGCTTGTCAATATCAGGACTAAACCACCTTGCATGTTAGTAATGTTTTTTTTTTTTTACCTCTCCTCTGTCCTGCTTCAGATAAGGAGGGAAGGAATGCGAGATACGAACCTTTTTTTGTTGCTCCTTTGTTCAAAATATCAGAAAAGTCATATGTATTTTAGCCTAGAAAATGAAATGAGAAATGTTGTCACTCTGCCATTTTTAGTATCTCTTTCCTTAGCCAGCTATGTTAAAGGAAGCCTGTATTGAGAAGAATGTATTGACTGCTATGGCTCGCCTCCCAGTTTGCTAGGCTGTCATGCTCAGCTAATGGCTTTGAAGTGAACTTTAAGTATAAGGCCTCATTCAAACTGATTTATATAACTGTGCAAAGGGACATTTTTATCCATGCACAGGCATTCCATGTCGGCAACCTGTTCAAATCAATGACAGTGAGTTGGATGTATGGATCTCTATGAGCATCCTGTAGTGTGCATCCATGTGGGTCTAATACATGGATCAGGACACACTGATCCAAGAATGTACACTCCTGGATGCACTGGAAGAACTGTGCAGGTTCGTGCAGCCGGCTGCCTGTCATTGATTTGAACAGATTGCCTGCATGGGTCTGTACAAAAGGCCTTTGCATTCTGCGAAGGTGAAGACAGCTTTTTGTCAATACACCCGTGTGAATGAGGCCTAAATCGGTTATGTACACAGTGTGCAAAATTATTAGGCAAGCTGTATTTTTGAGGATTCATTTTGTTACTGAACAACTACAGTGCTCTCGGTCATTCCAAAATGTGAATAAACCTCAAACCTGAATTATTTAAAAAAGGAAAAATGAGGTTTTGGTTTTCTTGGGAGAATATCTGTGTGCACAATTGCTGGGCAGCTATTAGCGTGCAAAATTATTATGCAACTTTATGAAGAATGAAAATTTTCCCATCTCCTTTGTTTATCTTCATTTTGTCAAAGTGAGAATAATAAACAACTTAAAATGTACAAATAAACAATTCTGACATTTCAAAAAAAATCAGTGACCAATACAGCCACCCTTCTGTTCAATAACAATCATAAGCCTTCCATCCATGGAGTTTCTTGACCTGTTGACGATCAACCTTTTGTGCAGCAACAACCACAGCCTCCCAGACACTGTTCAGAGAGGTGTGCTGTTTTCCATCACTGTGAATCTCCCATTTAAGAAGGGCCTTCAAGTTCTCAATAGGGTTTAGGTCAGTTGAGGAAGGGGGCCATTTCACTATTCTTTCATCTTTAAAGCCTTTACTGGCTAGCCATGCAGTGGAGTACTTTGATGCATGCAATGGAGTATTGTCCTGCATAAAGATCATGATCTTCTTGAAGGAAGCAGACTTTTTCCTGTATCACTGCTTGAAGAAAGTGTCTTCTAAAACCTGGCAGTAGGTTTGGGAGTTTATTTTGAGCCCATCTTCAACCCGAAAAGGTCCAACTAGCTCATCTTTAATAATACCAATCTATACAGTACCCCACATCCACCTTGCTGGAACTCTGTTGCCTGTTACTGATCCAGCCCTGGGCCCATCCATCTGGGCCAACAAGAGTCACTCTCATCTCATCAGTCCATAAAACCTTTCAAAATCTGTCTTCAGATATTTCTTGGCCCAGTCTTGACATATCAACTTATATATCTTGTTCAGTGGTGGTCAGGTTTCAGCCTTCCTTACCTTGGTCATGTCTCTGAGCCCTGAAAAACCTTGTACTTTTGGGCACTACAGGTAGGTTGCAGTTTTGGAATATGACAGCACTGGAGGATAATGGGTTCCTCGTAGGTTTACAATTGATTCTTAAATGTTTGGAAGGTCGTTTGCAACCCTGTTGACTATTTGCAACAAAACATTTGATGGTTCTGTGATCATGCCCCAATTTCTTAGCAATTTCAAGAGTGCTGCATCTCTCTGAAAGATTTTTTTTCAATTTTTGACTTTTCAGAGTCCGTTAAATCTCTTTTTTGGCCCATTTTGCTTGAGGAAAAGAAGTTGCCTAAAAGTTATGCACACCTTGATAAAGGGTGTTGATCTCCTTAA